CCCTACAATCTTAATCCTTAAATTGACAGCAGATTAGGTGACTACCACAGGTGGTGATTCACTCATGGTTGCAAGGTGGTTGCTGCAACTCCGGCTATCATATTCATATTACATGAGGAAAATGGGAGAAGTAAATGCTGTCTCTTTCCTTTTTTTTTTTAAGACCTTAGAGCTTTTTATAGCCAGCCTTACTTAGAGGAAGGATATGAATTTATTTTGTTCAGCTTCTATAATTGAGTTAGGCAAGGAACAAGGTGAGTAGATGCAGAAGTAGCCAGAAGGCAATTTCTGCCACAACAAATAAATTCAGTAATAATAATGATAGCTGCTGACCTTTCTGATAGTAATATTTGCAATAATAGTAGTAATATTGTTGTTATCAATACAGAGACATTATTCTATGCCCTTTATTTAAAATACATAAAAAGAGTATAAGTGTAAGCCTTTTAAAAAAAGATTAATGTCCAGAAAGCCAAGCGTTTTCCCTTGGATGTAAGACCAGAATGCTGTAGTTTGAGAAGAACAGATGGCTGCCTTCCCAAGGTCACAGAATTGGTGGTCGTTGGCCTTTGGTCTGCATCTCTTGCATTGGGAGTGCCCAATGACTGGTGGCCTGAGACCACCATGTATTTACTATTTTAATGCTCTCCTTGCTTTCTTAGGACATGGGTCAGTCTAGCAGGCATGATTCTGCCTTTGTGATTGCGTGTTAATTAAAATGTTGCCTAGTAAAAATAATGTCTCAACAACTTAAGTCTTTAATATCTATAAGTCAACAATTTATGTAATGTAATCTAAAACACATGTGTAATTTCTGTTTCTCAAGTGTTTTAAATTCTATACTGTCAGCTAAATTAATGATACTATCAATGGAGGATGGCACAGGAGTGGACAGTTTTTCATTTTGTTGTACATAGAGTTGCTGTGCATGGCAACTGACTCAACAGTAACTAACAACAACATCATCAAATAGAATTACCTTTTGCCCTATGAGGATGATGTATAATGTTCTCCGATAAAAAGATAATGATGTCTTTAAAGTGAATCAGGGACGACATATATAAACCATAGATATATTAATGGATCTGGGGCTAGCACGTAATCATAGCCTTAATCAAGGAGAGTTATTCTTATGACATGGCCCTACTTAATACTCGCTCTCATAAAGAGATCTTTGAGGATATGGGTGCTATAACAAAGTGTGGTGAAGAGATCAGATGGTGCCCAGTTATCAGAAAGAATAGCGTCTGGGATCTTAAAGACTTGTCTTAAAATAAGCAGCCATCTATATAAAGCAGCAACTGAGTGCACATAGACAAAGTACACTAACCTGTGTGATCCAAGGATTTTAAACAATAAAATCCAAATCTGTAGGAGGGAACAGTATCAGAGCTTGAATTCTGGGCACCCAGTTTGACTGGGAAGCCCACAACTCATTTTCAGGGTCCCCACATGGATTAAGTTTCAAGTGAATCCCCTCTGACCATAGTCCAGGGATGTGATAGCCTTACTGTCAGACAGAGAGCATTGCAAAGTCAATATTGGCACTTGTAATTAGGTTAAATGTAACATCTTTAATCATTTGATCTCCCCTTTGACACATTTTAAAGTTCTAGTTTTTAATGTTTTCTGCTTTCTTTTCGAAAGAAGTGTTTCTTTGTTTTATTTTGTCATTGTTATTGGGTTATTTTGTTTTGTTTCTTATTTTGATTTTGTATGCTTTTCTGTGTAAGAAATCCAAGATAAGTAAATCTATAGAGACATTAGGTGACTTAATAATTACTCAGGGGCATGCAAGGGGATGTTGGGGAGAAATGGGGAGCTAACAACAATGATAACAAGAAAGAAGAAAATTTTCTAAAATTGATTGTGCAGATGATTGTACAACTCTTCATATGATTGGACTATTGTATTATATGGAATTATATGCCACTAAAATTTTTAGAAAATGAAGTGGTAGTTATGGAGGCAACATAAAAAACAACAGTTAAAAAATTCTCACCTTAGTTAAGGCATAAAATTCAGCCAACCATGCCATATATTGTTCCAAAGTAAAGATTTTAGATATGCAAGGATTAATAAATAAAAGTATATTAGACAAAAATGGAAAAGGAAAGAAAGCATTTATCCTCTTATTCACCTAAGTTATGCTAACTTTAATAAACCCACTGGAACCACAAAGCAGGTACAGTTCCTGTTCTTGTGAAATTTGTTTAATGGAGAAGATGATCCTGAATGCAGGAAGATCACAGGTCAGTGGGTGGGAAGTCTTGTGGATCTAGTGATGTTGTAAGCATCTCAGCACTGGCAGGGGTCTCCATGTGGTTTCTCCTGCTCAGAGCACTAGTGTAGTTCCATGTGTCTTGTCAGCTGCAATGTCTCCCAGGGAGTGAGCATGTGTCTTGCCTCCAGCGAGCAATTTATCTCCTCAGTGCCTCCAAATGCCGTCATCAAGCAGCGACCTGATTGTCAGGCTAAACTCCACCCCTACTACTAGGACAAACATCGTACCTGTTCTGTTCTGTGCACTTCTGTATCCACTCCCCTCCTACCATGTCTAATCCATAGTTAAGTGTGCACTTGAAAAACTAGCAGTAGAATCTTTAATATAAATAGAAAATAAATAATATTTGTCATGGTCTGGACTTGTTTCATAGTCTAGATTTCTGGAATCTGGCTAAAACAGTCCCTAGAATTAAAACTATCTGAAATAGGACACTGTAGCTTAACCAGGTTTGTCCATACAACTCAACAAGTAATCAAATGTCTCTGGAAGATGTCATCATACTGGGCAAACATGTAAGTAGAGGTATAGGCAGAATAAAGTATCTTAATGTGGCATTCACAGTTCCTGTGGCCTGGAAATTAGTCTTTCTCTGGCAATATTCGCTGTGCTTCCCCTGTGATGCTGAGTGAGAGGAGACTTGGACTTCCTGAAATCCAAATGAAGCTTTCGTGGCGAGAGGGCAGGCAAATGAGGACCAAATCTCAACAATTGTGTCTGAGTCACAGGGATGCTCTTACAAATGCCACTTGCTCTGCAGGACAGATAGCCTACACGA